TGTTGTAAGTGCCCTACATGGACTGCTATATCACCCAAAAAGAGCTAGACAATTGTTCGCTATAGTGGGAATAGAACACGTGCATTAGACATAAATAAAATTTGTCCTAATCACAATCCAACTTGACGTGTTTACACGTGGACTTCACCATAACCTAACTTATATGATGGGAGAGTCGAGCTATCCGTTGTCATATACAACAACCCAGTATAATCCCACTAGTGAGGTCTGAGAAGGGTAGTGTGTACGCAGACCTTACCCCTATCATAGATAGAGAGGTTATTTCCAAATAGACTCTCGGCATACTTCCCACCAAAAACTTCCACCTTGCTCTTAGAGTGACTCGAACTCACAACCTCCGTTGTCATATAGTAGTTCTTATTTTCTCTATGCATCTCATTACACGTTAAAAAAAAAGAAGAGATGTACCAAAAATATCTTCAATAATTGAAGAGATACTAATAATACAATCTTATCCATTTTTAACCAATCAAATTTTTCTTCTTTTAATTCTCTTTTTTCATAGATTTATTGGCGTTCACTTACTTTTTTTGAAAAATAAATTTAAACTTTTTATTTTAATAGCATTCAAAATTGCTCAATATCGTCCTTAGAAGTACTTTTTGTTCATTCATATTCTTACCGCAAGCAAATTATTTTGATATTTTTCTTTGCCCTTAGTGGATCTTAAATGTGTACTGAGTGGATTTCATTTGTTTAAATATTTTTGAGAAAAAAGTCCAATTCACCTCTCAAAGTTTTGACTATAATTCTAAATTACCTTTATGTTGAAGCTCTTTTAGGAGTCAAATAAAAAGCTTTCTCCTAGTAGTGTAATATTAGAGCAAAAGTTTAACGAAATACAAAATAGCTTAATTTCGAAGAGTGCAACAAATTTGACCCATTTTCTTATGTTATTTACTAATATTTATTTATAAGATATTTCCTTGCCACTTGGATTTTGTTGACATAACTGATCTATTGATATTCATGATAGCAATTGAGTTCTTTAATTTGTATGTTCTTTGGATTTTAGCCACATAATATTTGTTGACAGTTCAATATATACTTTATTATATCAGCTTTCAGTGGCATAGTCACATACAATAAAGAATGACCGATTGAATACTCTTTATTGAAAAATTATACTTTATATATATATANTTTTAAGATTTGAAAATTAAGAACCAACTTCACATTAAAATCCTCTATTTCATAGGAAAATTGAAAATTTTATATTCGGCTTTACATTTTAAAAAACTCATACTATTTCGAATCATGCCATTCTTGTTGATAGGAAAATGCATTATTCACGAAAAGGAAAGAGAGACGTCCTAAAATTAATTATTTCTCCAAGTTGTCAAAGGATAAGATAATAGTGCTAACAACTAAATAATTCATAATTAAGATAAGCAAAAATTCAGGAAGCATGATCTACCTACTTGTTTTTTCTTTTTGAGAGTGACGAAAGATGATATTACGCACTGTAACCCAAAAATTATTTTTTTTCCTGTCTCCAGATATCTGGGATAAATACTTAATGCCACCTAGTGTTTATGGGCGGATTTAGGATTACGATATCGAGTTCATTTGGATCCAATACTTTTGACGCGAGAAATAAATTTATTCTAAAAATTACAACAAATAATATATATGAACTCATATCTTTAAAAATATTAGGTTCAGTGTTAACAATCTCCAAGGTTGAACCCATAAATTTTAAATCATAGATCTATGATATTACACCAAACAAAGGGGTCTCGGCCTAATAAACAATCTTGTTTTACTCTGCTTTAATGTGGTTTATTTTCCTTATAAATCTAGATCCGTTTTGTGAAAATAGATTCTATAATAATTTATATCACTTGTATTCAAACGTGCTACGAATATATCTTATATCAACTGTATTCGCTCGCACAATGCGTATTCGAACACATACTAGACACCAAGTTGGTGGAACTCCCCCCCCACACACACACCCAAAAAATAAGTAGAGTAGAGCCAGAACTTCCATGGTTTAAAACCATTGAGTTTCCTCTGCTTTCTCTTCACACTAACTTTACCTCACACTACTCTTTCCATTTTCAATTTCCCTCTCAGTTTTCCTTTCACTTCCCTTCATTTTAGTTAATGCAAATAACTGATAAAAATATCTTTCTTTTAGTAGTTGTTTTTCAACCTTGTGTTTGTCATTTTACACAGGGTTCATTTTCAACCACATGCTATATTGCTATCAAACTCAAACATCTGCTTTAACTTTATGTCAATTTCCATGTCATAATTCATCTCCTTTATATATATACTACACTCTATGTTCTTTTACTTACAGTTCTTCACTGTTTTTTGTTCAAATTTTAGTTTTCTCGGAGGGGGGTGAAAATACCCAAGAAAATATCTTTTTTTTAGCTTTAAAAACTTGAATCTTGAACTGAAGAATTAGTTTAAATGGAGCTGAAATATGTTGATTCTAAGGCAATATCAATGTCTAAATCAGTTGGTATGGAGATAATGAAGTTTTCTAGCTCGTTATTAGACTTAAAGCTCAAGTTTGGTGTCAATGTGGCTCCCAAGTTTTGTTCTCGCAGAGGTAATTTTCTGTTATATAATTAGGTTTGTGATACCCTTTTGAATTTTTGGATTTAATGAGATGGTTATTTTTCCAGCCCATTGATCTTTAATGGGTATAAGAAGACTGTTACTCGGTGGTCTTAAACATAGCGATATTTCTGTGACTATAAAATCATATCATTAAGACCATCTCCAAGGCTGCACCATTTCTTGCACCATTATAGAGCATGAATAGTGTTGCACTAAATTTGATTTATTATTATTTTATTCAATCTTTTTATTTTTTGGACTTTTAGTTTATCATATATTGTGTATATAATTAATTTTATATTAAGTTCTTTATAATTTTAATTTTATATCCTATTTTTTGATATATTAATTTTTGTATATATTATATTTACATAAAATTATAAGTTAATTTTATTATTATTATAATTGTATAAAAAGAGATATAATCATTATTTAAAAATAAAAAAATGCAAACGTAAGATATCTAATGTTTCTAAAATTGAAAAGTGAAAGCTAAAATTTAAAAAAGAAAATTAACAATACATAAAATAAAAATACATTATAATTAAGGATAAAGATGCGTATTTCGCACTTCGTAATGCATTAATCGAGCATTTATGGGAGAATAGAGGCAAAAGTTAAATATTTATGTGGTACTTAAATTAAATTTGACTATGATGTAATATTTATTTAATTATCTTTTATCAATGATTTCACTTTTAGTTGATTTATCCTTTAAAATAATTTTGTAATAAATGATTATATAAGTGGTGAATGTGAATTATATATAATGAATATGGAAAAAAGAAAAAAGATAGTATTACTTTGAAGGAAATAAAAAATAAAAAGTGAATAGAAGATAATAATATAATATAGAAGAGAGAGAAGGTTTAATGTAAAAAATGGTGTAATGGTTGGAGTAAATTTGGTGTTACACCATTTTGGTGTGAAATTTGGTGTTAGGGTTGGAGATGGCCTAAGGATAAAATGGAAGGGGAGCCTTGGCGTAACTGGTAAAGTTGCTGCCATGTGACCAGGATATCACGGGTTCGAGCCGTGGAAATAGCCTCTTGCAGAAATACAGGGTAAAGTTGCGTACAATAGACCTCGGTCTTTTCCCGGATCCCGTGCATAGCGGTAGCTTAGTGTACCAGACTACCTTTTTTTAAGGATAAAATGGAAATTTAAAATTAACTTGTTTCTAAGTATAAAAATGTGTCTTGTTTTTGGAACAGGCTAAAACGGAAAAGTATACCCAAATTATCATAAAATGGAAGAGAGAGAGAGTACTATTTTCGTGCTTAGAGTATTTAATTATTGTATCCAGATTTTGGAGAAAGCCAACCATAAGCTACTACTTAGAATGATTGTTTCTGCCATGTTGCTTGGACCCTCCAAAATTGTTGTCGCACATCCTCCAAAAATGCATATTGAAAGGGTCTGGCACACGCCTGGTAGTATTTTTCAAGAGTCCGAGCGGGTTTGATTTTTTGATAGTTGAAGTGAAGAGGAGAGTATATTTTGAAGGACAAAGCATTAGCTATGTAGATAAAAGCATTTCATGTTTGTCCTTCAGTTGTTGTAATGTTTGTTGGGTGTTTCATCCTTAACTCGAGTTCAAGTGTTCAATAGGTATAAGTGTTAGTAGAGGTGTCTAAGTGAAAAAATTAGGCAAGTTTAAGGGGCCGTATGTATTCAGCATCATTCGTTCCGCTTCTGTCATTTATTAAGAGATTTGCGTATTTTGTTGAATAGTGATCATATTTTAGATGTTGTGGTCACACAATTCAACACGGTACGAGAGTTCAAGTCCTACCGCCATCAATTAACATAACATTTCTACGTACTTAGCTAAGAAAAAGTATCATGCTCGCAGTTGAAGTATACTGTCAACATAAAAGTGGTTTCTCTCTAACATTTCCAGTCATTTTATTCCGCTTTACACGAGCTTAAGTTTGTGTATTCAAGTAAGTCTGCTCTTGTCAAAATGGCCATACAATGAGGCAATATAAAGTGCACCATTAGTTTTTAGAGATGCATTTCCTGTTTCTAATGCAGTCACTAAGAAGAATATTATTGACGCGTTATCAGATAACACCATTACTGCTGCTGCTAAATGAGTAGTGTTGCTTTTTGTACTGCCAATGAAGTTGAAATACTGTACTTTTCTGGTTTACCTTCAGGGCTTTCAACGAAGGCTTCTTATTCAAGAACTTCTTATGATGCTACAAGTTCAGTCACCAAAAAGAATTTCTTAGTGGACACTTTCTCTTATCAGATAAATGGTACAAACCGTACAGGTTTGTATTTTAGAGATAAATGGGTACTTGATGCCTCTGATGATGAATATGGAGGGGTAATCGTCAACGCAGAAAGACTACCATCCAATCCGGCCATATTTACGTCTGTGCTTCGTGCATCTCTCGCTCATTGGAAAGTGAAGGTACTTCATTAGCAGCAACTACTATATTAGAATAGTTGCAAACTTCATGAGTAGATTTGTTGTCTGGTGTTGATTACTATACAGTGTTATCAAAGGCAAAAAGCACAAAAAGGCTGTCAGGTCCTTTGAAGCTTTAAGCACAGAGCAAATAAAGTGTGTGCTTGGGTGAAAAAAGGCGTAAATGTTAAAAAGTATGAATATATATATATATATATATATATATATATGTATATATATATATATATGTATGTATATGTATAGTCCAAGACTAATGATTATAAGCATGAACTAAAAATATATGGACAAAGAAATTGAAAATAATCTACGACAAAGCAAAATATCATTTGTTTAGCATCGCTTACGCTCATTGGCAAGGAAAGTATGCCTTAGAGCCTTGATGACAACGCTGAAGCACCTGCTAAGCGTTCATCATGTTTTGAGCCTCGCTTCAAGACTTGAGCGCGCTCTTGACAACATTGTTACTACATAGTGGAAGCCATTGCATTTTCACTTCTTTTCTCTTTATTTTCAATAACTCTTGCGACTGTAAAACGTACTTGGAATGTTGTCCAAAAGACTCACAACTTTTGTCAAATATTATTAGATAACATCTTATAAAATACCTTTTTGCTAATAAATGGCTCCCAATGCAGGGGAAGAAGGGAGTTTGGCTTAAGCTACCAGTGGACAAATGTGATCTAGTTCCTATTGCAGTAAAGGTATTATATCACTTTTCTTAAATCTTGTAAGTTTTGGTGTTAGTTCTTTTGATATTGAATGCTGGCTAAAAATAATGGTCAAACTCTAAATTTTTGTAGGAAGGATTTCAGTACCATCATGCAGAAAAAGGACATGTCATGTTGACTTATTGGATACCAGATGAACCTTGCATACTTCCTTCTAATGCATCTCATCAAGTTGGAGTTGGAGGTTTTGTGATCAATAATAAAAATGAGGTGCATATTTTTCTATTTGGATGGACCTCCTATTAACATGTATAAGCTTATGAAGATCATTGTGCTTGAAATATGTCGAGGGTCTATCAGAAACTACCTATCTACCTTCTTAAGGTAGGGGTAAGGTCTGCGTACGCACTACCCTCTCCCAGACCCTACGCGTGGGATTATACTGGGTTTATTGTTGTTGTTGTTGTTGTTGTTATTTTAGTTGTTGTTGTTGTAATCTCGTAGCCTAATGAAATACTCATTTAGGTGCTCGTCGTGCAAGAGAAACATTCTGCGCCGGCTCTTTCAGGGCTATGGAAAATACCAACTGGTTTCATTCTTGAGGTATGTATTCTGTATACTTAACTCAATTTGACCTTAACATTTTGGTCACTTTTGACAGAAGTAAATACTCAAACATGTATTCTGTATACTTAACTCCTTAAAAACTGTTCGTGTCAAAATACAGTCCGAGGAGATCTTTACAGGAGTTGTGAGAGAAGTGAAGGAGGAAACTGGGGTAAGAAATCCACACTTAACATATTTTTTTCACTTAAATGAGCAATCTATAATGAGCAATTGTAATCATAATGATATTTTTCTTTATCATTATTCTTTCCAGATTGATACTGAATTTGCGGAGGTTATGGCTTTTAGGTAACAAAAATCTTCCTCTTCAAAGGACCATGCATTTTTCATGATTATATGCCTTTTTAGAGCTAGGAAGATCTATATTAGCGTACTTTATAAGAACATGAAATGCTGATACGATAAGTATCCGAGCGAACTTTCCTCAGACACACAGAATATAGAAGTACTACTTGCTAGACTTAACTGTTTAGGACACTTGTTGCTTACTAAAAAAGGACTACCTAGTGTACTAAGCGTCTGCTATGTGCGGGGTTCAGGTAAGGACGAACCACATTGGTTCTTATGTACGTAGCCTTACTTGCAATTTCTACAATAAGTTATTTCTGCCGCTTGAACTCGTGACCTATTGGTCACACTGCGACAACTTTTATCGTTGCGCTAAGGCTCTCCTAGACTTCATTGTTTAGGACATTTCTTGCTTTCTGGTGTAACAAATTGATCGAAAAGGATGTGCATCTGATGTAGAAATATAAGATTTACTTTCTTCCAACTACAATAAAAACTGCCCATCTTCAAGCTTAACTGAGCTTCTTGCTCTCCCTCATGTTATTTGAGACAATCACACTCTAAACCTTAGTTTAAAGTGTCAAGTGAAATGCTGGTTAAATTTTGGACTCTAATTGTTTATTTTATAGCCTCCATTTTTTAATTAACACTTATCGATGTCCTCTTTCAGGCATGCACAAAACGTGGCCTTTGAAAAGTCGGACTTGTTCTTCGTCTGCCTATTAAGACCTCTATCAAAACAGATCATGGTTGATGATCTAGAAATTAAGGCTGCTAAGGTAAGCATATTGTATAAATTAACAGGCAATAATAATTGTTTAATGTTCTACATTGGTTGGAGAAATTTGTGTTTCCTCGTCCGATGAACTTGCTTTTTTATGTTAAATTAGGCCAATGTCCATTTTCCTTAACATAGCATCAGACTCAGACTCATCCCTATTCTTGGTTTTGCGTCACACCCATCCATGCTCTTGGGTTTGTGCCACACTATTGTCCATGCACAAGATGTTCGATCCTGGGCATGCAACGGATTATGTGTCTCATATTGATTGGGAAAATTTGATAGTTCTTTTCTTATACGATTTTGGACAATCTTCACCTCATGATCTAGCTTTAAGGGTTGAGTCAGACCCAATTCTGACTAGTGTGTGTGGTTTTATGCTACCTCGCATTTACTTAACCTGCCTTTCTGTTCGCGATACAGTGGATGCCTCTAGCTGAATTTGTGGAGCAGCCCCTAATACAAGGTGATGACATGTTCAAGAAAATAATTGACATTTTTATTGCTCGACTAGGGAAGCGTTACTGCGGATTGTCTGTCCATCAGCTGGTTTCCAAATTTGATGACAAACTTTCCACATTGTACTTCAACACAGTTGATGATCCAGATTTGAATTGTCAAGCCAGTTAGCATCACAATCAGTATGGATATTACACTTCACCACTCACAATGACTAACAATATCACTTGGTCATTTTGTGTATATGTAATCCGCTGTAATCTGCAGGGTATTGACTCTGTAAATATGTAAAATATTTTTTTCAAGTGATTATCCAAGAAGTTTTTCTTCCCTCAATGGCACTTTAGCTCATAATTGTACAAAAGCAAGGACATATGCCAAATTTTTTAATGTACTACACAACACAAATTAAACAAAAAATTACTCAGTATACAGTCAAGCAATCAAAATATCAGAACCAGAAAGAAGAAAAATAGTACAAACAAGGAATAATTATTGGCAGAAAAAATATAAGACATGAAATGCATCACAACAAACTCTACCAATTAACTTTGGCTCGAAACTCTGTTTTTCTGGTGCAAGAAGTTCCTTCTTCTGCCTTTCTAGTCCACTCATGCATGAGGCAACAATGAGTCAAGCTCAACATACTTGATAACATTTGAATTGTGAACTTCATATAACACTTAGACAATATTATCAGCCCGTTTAGAAAATATTTCTTCCGCTCCATCTTGAGGCGAGTCCACAAATCCATTTTTTTTCATTTCTTTTGTGCCTGTTGATGATGCTGAAGCGCATTTCACTTCAGCGGGTACTGGACTCTCCAACCAAACAACGAAAAACATTTTCCAGGATAAAAGAAAATTCAAAAAATATATCATTTTTCGAAAAATATTTTTTGGAAAATGACTTTTATCTTACCAAACACACCCTTAATCTGTTTTTATTAAGTATAAGTTTCCCGAGGTAAAGCTACGAGTGAATCTAAGACCTTATAAAAGTGATCAGTCCAGGGAGGTAATGAAAGAATTCGCTTAAGTCAATAGGGGGAAAGGAAGGAAAAGAAAATGGAGGAATTGTATTAAAACGATTTACATCGGTTTGTATCATCACTTCCAAATATTTCAAATGTAAATATTTTCCATTTCATGACTACCTTTTTCTTTTAGCTACAAAAGGATGAAAACTACAACAGTTAAAAATAAAACTCCTCAGCTTTGAACATAAGACATTCTCACCTTCCTATCTCACGTAATGCCAATTTTACCTTTCCATTTTCAATCCCCCAATTACCTTTGTTGAGCTGAGGGTCTATTGAAAACATCCTTTCTATCTTTCGAGGGTAGAGGTAAGGTCTGCGTACACACTACCCTCACCAGACCCCAATTGTGGCTTGTGAGACATTAGTGGGTTTGTTGTTATTTTCAATCCCTCAATTCTGTAATACCTTTTTATACTATATATGAAATTTTCTTTTTTACCAAGGTGTTTTACTTGCAATTTAAATAATTATCTCTTATTATAGATTTAATTTAAATACATTAACGCTATAGATAGAATAATCATTTTACGAGTTACCACTATTTTTAAATAGAATAATTTGATAGAAATCTACCACTATTTTTTTATAATTGATATTTCTAATATTACGTGCATTAAATATGTATAGGTGTGAGCATGTGTATCTAAGTTTCACTTCCTCTTTTATTCTCCATCTGGATATAGATTATTGAGTTTTGATTGTCATTAATGAATTATTTTTTAATTTGTAAACCATACTAATTGAGAAATCTAAAAGTTTTATTGGTAAATCATCTGAAATGCAGTGGAAGTAGCCTCAACTTTGATCCTTCTGTCAGTAATAAATTGGTTGGAAACAATGCTCTAAATTTGACTTGAAGTTATCGGAATCCCATTCCAATTGGTTCCACCATTCTGACCGTCCTTCTATTACTTTGATGTTCTTGGAGGTTTGAATAGACAGAGGAAGCTTCCTTATTTGATTACAATCTTTCAACTTAAGTTCCTGCAGGTGTTCCCATGTATTCTCGCCCAGTGTTCCTAAGCTTGGACAGTCTTCCAACAGTAACTTCCGAACTCTTGGAATTTCTGAGTTGGCAAGTGTCGTCTGACTTGAGCCGCATTGCACATACAACTCTACCAGTTCATCACAATCGTCAATTCCAATATGTTCCAGGTGATTCGGTACAGAAAAAGCTCCACCAACGTTAAAGAGACATCTCAGTCTTGGACAACCGGAAATATCTAGTCTGCGTAATTTAGAAAATCTTAGACCCACAAGATGACTGATATCAGATACACTCTCTAAATTAAATATCAAGTTGAGGCGGAGACTTTCCAGATTTGGCAGAGGGTCAAACCGTCCACTTCCTTCTTCTGCTGGTTTGAAATCACAAGAACAGTAACGTACTGTAAGTTCTTTTATTCCATTAAAACTGTCGTATGCAATCAACTTCCTGAGACCCTTGCAGTTTTCCAAGCGCAAATTTGAAGCAAACTGCAACATGCCTGAGAGCTCTCCCTTACTGAAAATTTCACACTCGGAGATGGTTATTTCTGGTGGTGAGTTGGTGAAAACTGTAGGCATAGCTAGTTTCCTTGGTACGTAGTAGGAATAACTCTGAATTAGAGGTTCCCCAACTACAATTTGAAATCTTTTCAATCTAGACATCCAGGTGTGGTCTCTATTAGAAACTGATGAGCTATCCAATTTGATGTAAAGAGAGGTCAGCTTCTGTAGAGAGGAGAGCTCATCAAAAGAAGCTGATTCAAGACGGGTACCCGGCACATTTATCATTTCCATGCTAGCTAATTTGAGAAGAATTCCTAGGTCGATGCTTTTCAAATGATTTGCAGTTAAACGCCTCAGATCTGTCAACTTGTCCGTTCCTGGCGGCAGATGATGTAACCTTGTATTATGACAATCAAGCAATTGCAAATTGCAAAGATTACCAATAGGTGGTAACTCTGTCAACCAGTAGCAATCTATTAGTATTAGAGCACGTAATTGATATAAACTATTGATGGAAGAAGGCAGTGCTCTAATATCAGTTCCACTCAGATTCAAAACTCTTAGGGCTGGAAATGCCAAAAAGAACGTATCGGGAATTTCCACAAGACAACAATTGTCTTGCAAAAGTAAAGTTGTTGTCTCTGGGCACTCCATGAAGGAATCAGGTAAACGTTCAATTTTGTTGCTTACAAAAGACATTCTCTTGACAGAAGCTGACATTTTAATATGTGATATCTCAGACAACCCAAGTCCAGCTTGAATAAGAGAATTGTGCTTATCCCCCAGGGAATTATCTATCCATATAGCAACATCGCGAACCACGTCATGCATCTTTACAGAATCCCACTCATGGGCTTCTAGTAAGCAGGCATCTTTTAGAATCTCAATCATTGTAATTCCCCTGTTGTAGGCTTCTTCATATGTGTTACGTTCTCCAAGGAACCCCTCCGCCCACCAACAATCTATGACATCATCTGGTGAAATAGCCACTGGATATAAGGAGCAATACAAGAAACAACTTTGAATGTCACCTCCCCTTTTGTTCACATGTTTGCTTCTTTGCTCTGAGGATAATTCAATATCCTGAGATTCTAAAGAATCAAAACTCCACTTAATGACCTTGTAAACATTATCTTTTACATTTGTGTTGTGAGGTTCACACATTCTAAGTGATTCCAAAGCATCTTTCCAAAGCTCGACCCTCTTCTTCCCTCTCATAGATGCTCCGATGACAGTGATTGCTAAAGGTAATCCATCGCACTCCTTTGCAATTTCCTTTGCAACTGGTTGAATATGCTCCAGATTGGCAATATCTCCCGCATTTTTGACAAACATTTGCCAAGATTCATCTTCATCAAATGTCAACACCTTCATTTCGGTGTCTGTTTTCATTTGCCTACAAACATCAACAAAACGAGAAGTTAAAATTACCTTGCTTCTTGCGGGATCTTCAGGTTGGGGCACACCTACATGATCCAAATTTATAGCTTGCCAAACATCATCGAGTATAAGAAGGAAACTCTTTTCTTCCTTGAGCCTCTGATGAATTCTGCTGGCAATGCGTTCTACGCTTTCCTCACTGTCTACCTTTAGGTTTAATCTGTTGGCAATTTGTGCTTGAACCTTTCTTATGTCTGTTGGCGGTTTGGGCACTGTAACCCATACCACAACACTAAAAGACAGATTAGAGCTTGACGTAGCAGTCTTTAGGAGCTCATTGTTCAGATTCTTCACCAAAGTCGTTTTACCGACTCCTCCCATTCCCCATACACCAATGATGCATACCTGAAAGGATTCAAGCACTACCATTATAGTTTGGGTGTGGATGCAAAGGAAAAAGAAGAACACATAGAAACATAACAAAAAATATAGCATCCTGACACTTGCTTAGCCATTAGAGATTAATCAAAATTGGATTGACCTAAATTTTTTCATACCCAGATGCTTAAGTTCTTCATAGTATTTCTTCTATGAGGCGAGAGCTATGATCTCGGGAGTTGGATTTTTTCAAGGGTGCTATTCAAAGTTGCAACAACTACCGAGGCATCAAGCTATTAAGCCACACTATAAAAGTTTGGGAGAGGGTGGTGGAGTTGAGGTTGAGGAGGGTTGTGGATATTTCAGAAAACCAGGGTGTGCTTGCTGCTGCCCTTCTTTTATTTTTCCCGAGGGTCGTCCGAAAACAATCTCTCTTGAAGGTAGGGGTAAGGTCCCCCTCCGTATATTTACCCTCCCCTAGACCTCACTGGTGGAATCACAATGGATTTGTTGTTGTTGTTGTTGTTGTTGTTGTTGTTGTTGTTGTAAATTAGCAACTACCAATCCTAAACAATTTAAGATTACTAGTCTTGGAATGGTTTAAGTTCAACAATCAATTTACCTTATCATCTTCTAAGAGTTGTAGGATTTTGTTGAGATTTCTTGTTGCTGCTGACTGGCCTTCTATTGATGGTCCTGGGATGTACTCCACTTTTTTCACCTGGTAATTTTCAACCACCAAACTGGATCCAAAATTTTCTCCCATTTTTTTAAGGTCGCAAAGTTGATCTCGCATGATTCGTGCTTGAGTGGAGACTTCCGAGCGAAGACTGCAATTTGGACAACATTTATATGCAACCATCTTAGCCGCTGCAATGTCTTCTTTCATAGATTCCCAGTCAGTCTCCAGCTTTTGAACATCTTCGACCCACTGGAGAACCTCTGGTTTTGGTTTATAGCCTTCTCCCTCAGCTCCTTCCACCTTCCCTTTGATATCATCTCTAAACTTTCTTAAATTCTCCATTTCCTCTGTTACACTTTCAACATTTGATGTGAAACGGACGGTATTTTCAATCTTAGGATAGATGCATTTACACACCTTCTTCCCCACCTCAACAACAAAACCAGCTACAACATTAAAAATTATTTCCATCGACCAATTCGTGAGACTAAACTAGCAGAAATTCGAGAACAAGAACATAAAGGATACAAGGAAAAATCAATTATTGGTCCAAAAGACAATATTTTGACTGAGGGTTCCTTCTCTCCTTGACTCAATTTTTGGTCCAAAAGACAATATTTTTCTAGAAAATGATCAAAATAGTCCTTAATGTATTGGGGTTGGTTTATCTTGGTCCTTCATATATACCCCTTAACAGGTATAGTCCTTACTATTTAGAAAAAATGGACATTTTTGGTCTTCAACCCTAAAACTAATAGATTTTCGAAAATAATTGTTAACCCTAACATCTGATCCCACGTATAACTCACGTGATCATTAAAAAAAAAAAAATACCCTCCATGAGATTCTAGACTTCTAGTTCCCAAACCTGAGTCACTTTACTCATTTCTGTGCAACTAACAAATGCATCAGATGGTCACCCAAGAACCACAAATTTGGTCTCGTGTTTACAAAAAAAATAAAAAAATTGCTATAATTCTTAACTTCAACATTTACTTTCACTTGGTGTACTACAATGTAGACTGTAATTTATAACAAAATCAGAAAAGAGAAATATCTAGCATTCCATCTTCTATCATTTTTTTAAATTTCTCAGAAACTTCGAAAAAGTATAAAAAAAATCACCTGAAAAAGAATACCCATTTGCCTAATTATAAACCAGAATAATTTCATTGGTGCAACATCGAAGTGTCGGTGCCGAAGGACTTTTTCGATTCCGTTCAAGCTTCGGTGACATGGTAAGAAGCATTTTTCAAATCCAAAACTGAAATTGACACAACTTTTTACCCTTCTTCATCAGTTTTGCAGACACCCAGTAAGCCTTAACCGCTCCCACAAGTTTCTTCCACCATGTCACTGGTGCTGACTTTTTTACCGGAGCTTAAATCGGCGGACTGCGGCTCAACTAGTTTCGTCGTCGACCAGAGTTTGCTGAATTCGGCGGAGTTGGTGGTGGAACCACTTTGTTCCCACAGAGTAAGCATCCGGTTGAATTGCCTTTTTTTTTTAATTCCGGCTGAGTTTCTTCGACAACCCGACGTGTTTCTGTTCTCTTTTTTTTTTCGCTGTCACGTGAGTTGCACGTGGTTCCGGTGTTAAAGTTAACGATTGTTTTTGATAAGTTAGTTAGGGGTCGTTTGGTAAGAGGTATTAGAAAACATAATGCAAGCATTAGCTTTATGTATTACTAATATCTTATTTGGTATATTTTTTTAATTTGTGTATAACTGATACATCATACTTGGTATTATCCTATGTATAAATAATGTATAGAAAACTATGACATTAGTAATACCAAGGTTATTAATGCATGCATTAGTATGGTTAAAGACACAATTGTCATTAAAATCCCTTAAAGCTAGATAATATGGAGAGCATTTTTGTAAACAACTATTTTTCTTACAAATTATGCAATGCACTATAATTTTAATACACTACACCAAGTAATAGATAAGAAATAATATCTGCATAACTAATGCTTGCATTACTAACACATGCATTACTAATACACCTTATTCCGCACTATTCTTATATACCCTACCAAACGATCCCTTAGTTTTAGGGTTCAAGACCACAAGTGTTCACTTTTTCTAAACATCAAGGACTACATCTGTTAAGCGGTATATATTAAGGACCAAGATAAACCAACTCAAATACATTAAGGACCATTTTGATCATTTTCTCTTTCTATTTCCTCTGACGCTAGGCCCCCTTATTTGTTTGCACTTAATGGAAGTCTGAATCTTAATCATTCAGATCTTAAACATTAAGTGTGTTTGTTTTAGAAGTCTGAATTTTAATCATTCAGATCTTAATCATTAAGGCCTCATTTGTTTGCACTTAATGGATGTCTGAATCTTAATCATTCAGACCTCAAACATTAAATGTGTTTGTTTTTAAAGATTGAATCTTAATTATTCAAATCTTAATCATTAAGTATTTGTTTTTTTTAATTCACAACGACTTAATGGGTTTGAATAGGTCTGTATCATTAAGATCTATAACAGAGACTTAATTTCATTAAGATGTTATCATCCGTATTCATTAACTGCCGCCACCGCCTACCATTATCAACTACCACCATGTCACCCACCGCCACCATACTCAACCACCCCCCATTATCCTCAATTATAGTTGCTACCATTGTCGACTACTACCACCCACCATCCCCACCACTTCCATCACCATCATTCTCGACTACAACCAACACTAATCTACCTCAACTACCACAACTAACCACCCGATCACCATCAACAACCATAGCTGGCACTGTCCATCATTATAAACTACCACCAGTCACCACCATCTTTCTCAATCACAACTACCACCATCACCACTCGCTATTATTAATTATTACCACCCACCACCACTATCCTCAATCATAATAGCTACCACTACCAATCACCACTAGCTACTATCCTAAACTACCACCATCAACCAAATCTACCACCAACCACCGCTTTTAGTCGGCATTCACAAGTATTACCGTTAGCCATCACCACCAACAACTATCATATTTTAAAAAGCTATATATTTTATTGATGGAATATTAGATTAATTAGTGTTTTATTTGAATTTTATGTTTATGAATTTTCAAATAAACGTATTTTTTATGCATTCAGATGTTAAAAATCAAATAGTCTTAATCATTTAGTATTTAGATCTTAATACACATCTTAACATCTAGATGTGTATTCAGATTCAGATGTCTTAATCTTAATACACATCTTAACATCTAGATGTGTATTCAGATTCAGATGTCTTAATCTTAATACACATCTTGATATTCAGACGTGTATTCAGATTCTTAATCTTAAAAAAAAATGAGGCCTAAATTTATTTGTTTTTTATTTCACAACCACTTAATGTGTCTTTATAGGTCTGTATGATTAAGATTTATAATAAAGACTTAATTTCATTAAAATGTTATAATCTACATTCATTATTAATTGCCATCACCACCTACCATTATCAACAATTGACATGTCACCCACTATCATCATACGCAACCATCGTCGCCACCACCATAGCCACCACAATTATCGACAATCACCACCCAGAATCCCAACTACCCCTACCATCATCATTCTCAACCACAACCACAAACTTATCCACCTCAAATACCACAACTAACCACCCTATCACCATCAACAACCATAGTCGGCACCGTCCACCGTTATAAACTACCACCACCGTCCTCAATCACAACTACCACCACCACCCACTATTATCAATTATTACCACCTACCACTATCATTCTCAACCATAATCGCCATCACTATTAATTACCACTAGCTACTACTCAGAACCACTACCATCAACTAAAACTACCACCAACCACCGCCTCTAGTCGGCATTCACAAGCACTATTGTTAGTCGTCACCACTACTGACTACCATATTCTAAAAATATATATTTTATTAATAGAATAGAGTGCACTCATGGTCTTCAAATCACTTAATTAGTGAAGATAAATTTTATACATTCAGATGTTAGAAAACAAACAGTCTTAATCATTTAGTATTCAGATCTTAATACATATCTTAATATTCAGATGTGCATTCAGATTCACATATCTTAATCTTGATGCACATTTTGATATTCAGATATGTATTGAGATTCAGACGTCTTAATATTTTAAAAAAAAATAAATGAGGCCTTAGTGGTTATTTCATAGAGGAAATTGCTAATTTCTATTATGTTTTCTTTTTCTTGTGTTTTTCTTTTTCTTTTTCTTTTTTTTCTTTCGTATTCTACTTTAAAATAATATTTTTCTTTTCTGAATTCTCCATCTTCTTCACTTCATCAAATCCACAATTGAGCTTTCTCAAAATAACCCCTTTCCTCCTTTTTAAATTTTCTCTTTCTTTTCCATTTCTATTAATGTTTGTTTTCCTAATATGCTTGACTTCATCCGATTAAACTTTATTTTTCCAAAGGTTTCATGGTGAACAATAAAGGATTAGGATTAGCTATTGGTTACTTCAAATTAAATTAGTGTTTGTCTCTCTATCTTGACTCTTGAGCACTATAAATAATTTATGTGACTATAAGATTTAAGCTACAATAAAACTCCTTGAGTCATATTTATATTATTGCCAATAAGATTATTGGATTTTTGCCTCCAAAAGTGTCACGACCCAAAATCCACTAAGGGCCGTGATGACGCCAGACACCGCTGTCAGGCAAGCCATTCAAATTACTTAATTAAATTCTCATTTTTAATAATTTTGAAAACTGTTATTTTTTTTCAATTTTACTCGTAAAAGGTAATCATTTCAAGTTAAATACAATGTTAGGAAGTCAATACAAAATACCTCATAATCCTCCCAGAACCTGGTGTCATGAGTGCATGGACAATTTCTAGGAAAAACAAGATGTAATAAAACAACTGTCCGGAATACAAATGGACAGAGATGAAAAATACAATACAATACTGTGAGGGAGACTCTGCCGGCTGCGGGTCGTCTCGAGTGGTGCAACTACCTAAGTCTCTGTATCAACCACGGTGCTAAGCCACTAAGCCACTAGCCACACATGAACCTGTGCAACAAAATGCACAGAAAGTGTAGTATGAGTACGAAAACAACGTGTACCCAGTGAATATCCCGCCTAATCTCGAAGAAGTAGAGGCGAGAGGTCGTACTAGTGGTCCAATAATAATATAGTAAAAACGTGAGGAAATCATGGATTTTATAAAATAATTATAAACTCATAAAGCCAGATAACAAGTAAACAACTTCTCAAATAATAATGGATCTCCAAAGATTTACTTTTCATTATCTTTATCGATTTACGTCTGGCCGGGAAAGGCAAATATCGTTTTTAAAATTCTCAGGCAAGAAATACAAGCATGCGCAAATCATATCGGGGTCGTACGACCCGATCCAACATAAATGTAAAATGTGCACTGTCGAGGGTCGAACGGCACGAACTATAGATGCATCTATTACCCCGCTCGCGAACAATATATGCGACGCGGTCAAATACAAGTAATAGAGCCACCCCGCTCGCGAATCATACATGCAACACATGTACTCGTAGATACACACATTCAAACAGTTAATTAAGAATTCATCAGGAAACATTTATTCAAGGGAAAACAAATTCTCTTTTAACGGTTTAAGAAAATGAATTTTAATATTTTCTAGGAAATTCTTTTACTATATCGATATGATGTAAGCAATTAAAACTATCAACATGATTACAAATATTTCAAGTATAGCATGTTTTTAAGTCCTAGGCTACCCAGACTTAACATATTAGTAGTTATGCACGGATTCTCGTCGCCACGTGCGTACGTAGCCCCCACAAATTGAAGCACATAACCAATTATTTCACTTATGGGGACAATTCCCTCTAACAAGGTTAGAAAGGAGACTCACCTCGCTCCGAAGATCCATAGCCGGCTTCCAAGCCCTTCCGACGACTCAAACCGATGCTCCAATGCTCCAAAACTAGCCAATAACCGCGCGGATCCATTAATATATGTTAAAGTACTTGTTATAATCCAATTTATAACAATTCCTAACCCCGATCGAAAAGTTGACAAAAATGCCCTCAGGCCCACATGCCCGGATTCCGAAATTTTTCAAAGATAAAGTTTACCCATGACCTCACGAACTCAAATATATAATTTACTCTTAATTTCATGCCCAAAATCGTGATCAAAATCCAAGAATACGATTTTTTTAGGTTTTCCTCAATCCCCCAAATTTCTACCAATTTACATGCTAAAATCCGTACATAATCAATATATTTAACTCAAGATAGGAGGGGTTAGCTTACCTTGTCGTTGATGACGAAAAATCCCACTTGAAGCTCTCCAAAATCGTCCACACCAAATAAAAATGGGAGGAAAATGACCATCTCCCGATTTTAAAAGAATACACTGCCCCAGCCCTTTACGCACCTACGGTGCATAAGCCGCACCTGCGACCCTCGCTTCTGCGGCGCACGCGCCGCTTCTGCGTTCTCCTCAATGCAGGTGTGCTCCCGCATATGCGGTTAAAGCGCCGCACCTGCGGTCCTTACACACCTTCGCCAAACCGCATATGCGACCCCTTGGCCGCTTCTGCGGCTCCGCACATGCCACCCAAACCTCGCAGGTGCGGTTACACCAGATATCAGCTACATCAATCCTTCTTCAATTCTAAATTTAATCTGTTGACCATCCGGAATCCACCCGAGGCCCCCGGGACTCCAACCAATCG